ATCTAAGTATCTATCTATCTAAGTATCTATCTATCTGAGAATGAAGGGCCATGGTCAGACAGGTAACCAAGAACCCAATGGTCACCATAAGTGAGCTCCAGAGTTCCTTAGTGGAGATTGGTGAACCTTACAGGAGGCCAACCATCAGTGCAGCAGTCCACCGATCAGACCTTTACGCTAGAGTGGCCAGATGGAAGCCACTCCTCAGTAAAAGGAAGGACAGTCTGCTGGGGGGTTGCCAAAAGACACCTGAACGACTCTCAGACCATGAGAAGCAAAAACATTTGCTCTGATGAAATTAAGATTGAACTACTTGGCCGCAATTCCCAAAGACGTGTGTGGGAGAAACCAGACACTGAGCATCACCTCACTAATAACTATCCATACAGTCAAACATGGTGGCGGCAGCATCATGATAGGGGGAAGTTTCTCTGCAACGGGGACCGGAAAGATGGAAGCAGAACAATATAGAGCAATCCTGAGTGAAAACCTCCAGAGTGCTAAACAACACAGGCTGGTACAAAGGTTTACAACGACCCGAAGTATACTGCCAAGAAAACACAGGAGTGGCTTCAGGAAAGTGAGAAGTCGTGGAGTTTAAGTCCTGGAGTGGCCCAGGCAGGGTTGGGACCTGAAGTTAATAGAGTTCTGGAGAACTCTGAAAACGGCTGTGCACCTCCCATCCAATCTGGCCGAGCTTGAACAATTCTGCTAAGAAGGGTGGGAGAACAAGAGTGAGCCAAGAAGACTTTCACTGGTGCCAAAGGTGATTTAACGAAGTACTAAGTGAAGAGTCTAAATATTTGTGAATGGAATATTTGTCCTTTATTTTTAATAAATCGACAAATGTATCCAAAAACACGCTTTTGCTTTGTCACTGTGGAATAGTGTGTGTAGATTGATGAGAAAGAAATGTATTCAACACATTTTACGTTGAGTCTAAAACATAAAACATGGAAAATGTTAAAATGTTCCTGATGCATTGAACCTAAATAACACATTTTAATTAATTAATTTAAATACAGTAAATGTACCTACGTTAGAGGACTATTTCTACTCCTGCTTTTACCTTTCTGAAATAACGTGGCATAGTAACAACGATCTCTTTTAGACCAGAAAACTGAAACTTGGGTGGATTAAACCCTTCCTTTCGAATTTTCTACAAAAATCCTTTTGAGTATTAAGATAGTGATTAAATACTGACCTCAAATAGCAAAGCTCAATTCTACAAAATGCTTCAAACTGTTTGATGCAACCTGTAATCATTTGAATAGACTTCAAAGAGAGAGGTGTGCTAATTTATCTGGTGATGGACGAAGAAAGATAACGCTTTAGTTTAGGCATGTAGAGATGATGACTAATAATTTAGGGCAGAGGTGAAACAGTCCAGAAAGATCAGAGGAAAGAAAAAAAAACAACACCATTTTTCAAACTCAGATTTTTATTAGTCAGTACAAGTAAAAACGAAACTGAAGTCGAGTATCTTCATCCCCTCCAAAAATGCACTTCTTCTGCGTCAGTGTTGGAGGCTGAAAAAAGTAACTCACACGTCTTTTCTCCCTCTGAATTGACTTGTGCCGCTCTACTGCAGGGAACATAACGATGACGTAAAAACTATCGCCGAAAGGGATCTTACGCAGTGAAAGAAAGCAGCGCTTCACAAATATAACACTCGGTGTTTGGAACAATGACAAAATTATTCTCCCCCCCCCAAAAATATGCGAATGTGTATTTTTTTGAAGGAACATAAATTCTATAAACATACACTCATGTTTTTCATTCCCAAAGTGAAATTTAAATTGATGTTTTAGCAAAAGTTACTGCGATACTGCTGATACGGAAGAGAAGCAGTCAAAACTGCTCACGGAAAAACTAAAAAACACAGCAGAAACATTGCATCAGCTACATTCGGGGGTGTTTGTTTTTTTTTTTACTCTCTTAGCAAAAAAATAACTATCTTCAGAGTCAACTTCTGTGACTGGTTGATTTACACTTGACTGCATGCACACACACATACCATGCACACACTCTGACCTTTATCGAACTCACGCTAAATTACATATTTAATGCAATGCTTCATACTGGAGCAAATAACACAAAAAGTGAATTATATATATCCACCTCTTATTTTCTTTAATCTTCTGTCTTCAGTCTTCAGCTCGGCCTCTGATGTCTTTTACATCTCCTGGTGTTGTCTCTTGCCCTCCTCGTCCTTTATTCTCCGCCATCCACATTGTTCTTCTGGTGGCTGCTGAATTAACTCTTCCTCAGTTTAACCTCGTCTCCCGATGCCACGCCGCAGTATCTGCAGTATTTGTCCCCACCCACGTTTACCATTTCAGATTTTCATGGCAGGGTGAGGACCTCCACACTGAGACCACGAAGTTACTGAACAGTCTTAAAACTCCTGCCCCCCTTTGCCTCCATGATCCACAGTGATTTAAAGAGCTCAAAGCTACATGTCCGTCAGTACCGTGGGGGTAGAAAAGGTCTTTTTGGGGCAAACATTGGTCCAGCATTCCCCCCTCCTCCTCTTGGACCTGGACGTTTTCCTCGTAACCTTGGATCCGGGCCGTGGAACCGAGGAAATGGTGCACGTGGGGGTCCTCTGGGGTGCGGGTGGTGGGCTGGGTGGGGAGGCCGGTTTGGAGGCCGTAGACCAGGATGACGGATTTCAAGATGAGGAGGTGGTGGCGGCCTCCGTGGAGCGTAGTGTGGAGGCGGGGGGCTGTGCCGTTGGTAGTCGTGGGCAAAGTAAAGGTCCTCTGAGGGGGAGAGGGGGGGAGTGAGGCGCCCCCGAACTCTGGGGTAGTGGTGTGGAGGGCTGCCTGGCCTGTAATAAGGCTCATCCGGGTGCTGGTAAGGGTCGTCTTGAAAGAAGTGGGCGTCGCGATGGCGCAGCTCGTTGTGGTAACGCTCTTGGTCCTCCTGGTAACGCAGGTCATCTGGGTGAGGGTGCAAATCCTCCGGGTGAGGAGGGTGAGGAGGGTGATGTTGGTCGATGTCGTATCGCGGATCGTCTGGGTGAAACATGGATTTGTGTTGATGGTCGTGGACCACCATCCCACTAATGACGCTGTCAGCTCTGGGCCCAGTCCCCTCCCCTTTGCCTGCGCGAGGCGTTGGCTGCTGCTCTTGAGGAATCATTGCACCACTGGAGGAGGGGACGTCAAAGCCGTGAGGAGGGGGAGGGAACTTTGGGACCGGAGGGAGGGCGTTTGTGAAGTAACCGGTGGCCCCCTGCTGGGAGCCAAAGTCTCGAGGTTGCTGACTTTGCTCCGCTCGGTATGGATACAGCCCAGTGTTGTTTTCTCCGGCCCCTCCGGGCGCGGTCACATTGTAGCCTCTGGGTGGCTGAGAGTTCCCCTCTGGGTAAATGTCACCATACCAACCTCTTTCACTGAAGCCTTCAACTGTCTGTGTGCTACTGGCACTGCCCGGGGCTCGTTCTCCAGGCACTGGGCCTCCTGCTTGTGCAGAGATCTGCTGGTAATGTGCAACAGGTGCAGTAATCCCGTGCTCCGACATCTCGTGTTTTCCGTATGGGTACATCTGGTAGGCCTGCCCGTTCTGAGCCGCACCTGGCTGCAGGTGAACTTGTTGTTGGGGATTGTTGAGGCTCTGCTGACTGTTCTGGTATGGAATAGGAGCCGTTTTAAAAGTTTGTCCAATAGACGACTGATTTGTGTTGGATGTGAACGGAGCCACAGCAGGCTTGTCCATGATCTCATCTTGAGTCGGGGTGCCTCCACCCTCGTCCCGCACTGGAGTCCCATCCTGGGTGTCTGCCCCAGTTACTGGGCTGAGGTTGTCTCCAACCTGCACTGGGTTTGCGGTGAAACCCAGGTCAAATGCACTGAAAGCAGAGTTCCCCTGCAGGAAGTTGTGGATTTTAGACTCTAAACTCTTAGAAGACATGGACGCTTCAGGCTCTGTTGTCAAATCCATGTCTCTATGGAGAGCCTGGACCAAGGCAGAGGCTGGGTTAGAAGTCTGAGGGGGGGCTTGGGAGCTTGTGCTCTGCCTTACAGTGGAGCTGGGTGAAGAAGGCACCGGTGCAACAGAGGAGACAGACGGGCTCTGAGAGGGCACCGCTGAGGCAGATGTGGATGAGGGAGTGGGAGGAATCTTGCCTGTACTGGAGGAGTCTGAGGAGACATTTGCAGCTGGGCTGCTCAGAAGAGAAGTGACGCCTAAGTGAAGAAAGGAAGAACACAGAAATATATTTTAATAAAAATTGCTGCTTTTAATGTACGACATAAAACAGATACATGACGTACAATACAGTCTTTGTTTTGCAAAGGGTTTCTCATTCTCACCCTCACGGCTGCCTTGGCCCTGGACTTTGGAGAGAGCACCAAGGAGGTCTGCAGGACTCACGTCCACCTTGGAGAGGAGGTTTACCAGTGAACTGGCATCCTGAGGGGCCACTAAGGCAGCAGGTGTGGTCTTCAACGAAGAGCCAGCAGGGGCAGCTGCAGGAGGACTCTCCACTGACGGTACTGTCACACAGAGACTTTAATTGTAAATTACTTGAACAACAAAAGATTTTAGCATATTATTACAGGAAGCTACTGCAGCTTAAACCACGTTTATAATCCAGAAAGAAAAACATTTTGTTGATTTTAGTTGTTGGAGCAGCTCCCAGCACTCACCTGTGTTCTTCATGACTGAGCTTAAACTGTTGAGGATGGAGCCAATTTTACCGAGATCAACACTTTCCACGACAGCTGCAGGAGCTGCGACAGGGGGCGTGGCCTGTGCGACGGGCTGCTCTCTTGACACTGATGGCTCCGTTTTTGCAGGAACTGGAGTGGACACCGCTGGTTGTGTGGGGCATTCAATGTTTTCCTCAACTGATGGGAGGATATGGAAGTGAGAGAGAGTTTGAATGCTATCAGATATGCACTCTGTGTAATGAAACCAGAGAACAATAGTTGTTTTATATGTCTCAATAAGCTACACAATTAAATTTAGCATTGTTTTTCTGCAAGAAATCACTGCCAGTAAATGAATGGAGGGGAATACGCTGCCAAAAACACTGAGAGTGAAAAACAAAATCAAAACACAGAGGTTAACCATCGAATAAATTTTTTTGCTTTTCTTTAAACAACCATTAAAAAACAAGCTAAAATACTGATTATAATAACAATCTTATACTATAAGATATTAATCCTGATGTTGAAATAACGGAGGGCGACAACTAATCATTTTTACCTCACTTTTAATCATTTTCTCAATCAAATGTTAAACATTACAAAAAACTGCAGATTTCGGCTCTATACTTTCACCACATGCTCGTCTCAAAGATCAAGCTAAACAAGTCTAAAGTACACACGGCTCGTTAAATCATCTAGAGCATCGGAAGCAAAATGAAACATTTTCTTGGTAAATCATATACAAGAAATAGTATACCAATACAAATCCTCTTTACATATGCGTAATACACAAATCCAAGTACAAGTACATACTAGTCATATTTTATCCCCTCACTGCTACGAGTGGTAGTTAATACAGATAATATAAGGCAAGCTGCAGCCTTTAAAGAATACACTGCACGTGAAAACCCCAGTAAAACGGGAGATATATGTTTATCTTTAGTGGTAAAACTGTGTCTAATTTTAATTTGATGGCTCTACGGGTGGGGAAAAGTGTTCCAGTGAAATTGGCTGGAGCACAGATTGGAAGAAATGCTTGGATGGTTTTTGTTGACATATGAAAGCTGCGATAGGAGTTTTGTGTGATTTTCTTCATGAGTGAGCAACGTCATTTGCCTATTTTCGTTGGCGCTTCATTATTTCAACACATTTTCTGCATAATAAAACAGTGGGAGACATTACAAACACGTATAAATACATAAACATTGCATTTAAAAAGCCCTCGCTGTGCAGTCGGTCACTGAGTCACCACCCTGCTCCTTACCTATAATGCCACCACTGTCCATTTCTTCATCAGAGAGCTCCATATCTTCCACTTCACGGTTGTCATTCTCCCCCAGTGTCTCTGTGTGTTTGGGGGATCCCCCCGGTGAGGACAGAGGGCTCGGGGCCGGCGGCTCTGCCTCGTCATCCATAGCAGAGCCATCGAGATCTGGATCGGGGTGGGCCAGTTCCAGCCCACGAAAAGGGGACTCTGAGCCCGTTGGAGACGGTGCGTCTGCGGAGGGGGAGGGGATGGGTGAATCGTCCAGGTCTGGTAAGGTGGCTTTCAGGGTGTCCAGTTTACGCTTGAGGTGGGACACTCGGTTAGCAAACGTCTGATAGGCCTTGAGGGGAGAGGTGATGGAGTATCAGTACATGAAGAATAAAAGCCAGCTAATAATTCGACCCTCAACACCTCGGGTCATTCCAGATGCATTTCTCGGACTGTGTACTTATGTTTGTCATTTCACAGTTTATAAAGAAGTTTAATATATTTAAAGCTCGCTCAATTAATCGAAATTTGCGATTCATGATTACGATTTGTGGGCCAATACGATTCTCAAAACTAAATAAAATCGGGGAAACGATTCTTTTCATTTTCTGTTGTGCACGTTGGTTACAGTCCTGTGTATTTCCCCCACCAGGTGCACTGGCACACGAGTCATGCGCTACGGTATACTCGCGCGTTCCCGACTGTCGCGCGACAATGTGAAGTCCACGGAAGCGCCGTACACTATTTAATCTGTCCGCTGGTGGTCACGAACTTCGCTGCGGTCTTCTCCTGTCACGTTGGTTTTCCGTTTGAACAGCCGTACGAGGAGACTTACAAATGTGTTACGGGGAAAGGAAAGTGTAACTGAGTGTTTTTGACAAATGTCCAATAAATGCAGCATGTTTCTGAAGTTTAAAAAAATAATCGTTTGAATAATCGTGATTTTTAATTTTGACCCAAATAATCGTGATTCAGATTTTTTCCATAATCGAGCAGCCCTACTGTATGTATAGTGCTTTTATGCACAAGCATCTGATCTTAAATTGAATACTGCCATCAGAAGGATGTATTTTGAACACACAGGCCAACATGAATCACTGCCACGAGGTGGTTCTCTGTATGTTGAGGGCAAGTAGAGTAATTAACAAACAAGAGCCTGAACAAAAAACACATTTTACTTGTCTAGCATTGTAAACAAAATTATAGTTGGTAAATTGTGATTTGAGTGCTGTGAGGAAGTGATGCTGTATTTCTATTGGAGCTGTAAAACCTACAGATAACCTCTTATAACTAAATAACACACACGTCACTCACATTAGCAACAATCTTGACCTCCTTATACTGCGTCTCGTAGAAGATATCTGCGTTCCTGAGGGCCTCCATGACAGGAGGCCCTGTTTTGCTTTGTTTTTCCAGGAACTTGACGAACTCCTGTAGTTGGGCACTGCCTTCCTCAAAATCCTTGGAAAACTTCTTTCCCCCGGCCTTATCTGTAATAATCGAGCACATAAAGATGAAAACCACTGAGGATCCTGGAGCTAGCACCCACTGGTGTGCTGCAGTAAGACAGATGGTAGAAGGCAACTGAAGCAGGCACCTTTGAGCTTCTTGAGAGCCGCAGTACTGCAGATGTCAACCCTCATAGCTGCCAGCTGTTTTTCTCTCAGGTCAATCTCCTCCACTGATTTCTTGTACTTGGACAGTTCATCTATTAGTGCCTGGGGCTACAGCAGAGAGAGCAGTCAGTCACAGTGTCACACCAACACAATGTTTGAGTAAAGGAGAAATATAGGACAACTACGAGCCTAATTTGTAAATAAAACCAATAATAATAATAATAATAAATAAATGTCTTGCTTACCACAAACTCAGCAACAACCTTGGACCGTAGATCTGCATTACACTCAACTGGAGCTTTAAGAAAATAAGAATAAACATTAGAGATCGTATCAAACAGAAGAGCATTAAATAAAAATGTCAGACATTTAAAAACAGGGTTACATAAGAATGAATCTACAGTAGTGATTAGAGTTTCTCCGATACCAGCACATGAACTTTGCTCGAAGTTATTCAATGTTTAAATAAAACTAAAGAGAGAAGGAAAATAAGCCAACACACTTACTTTTTTGCTCCACGGGTGTCTCAGGAGGGGATTCCTCTTTGACTAAGCTACTCCTGAGCTCAGTAATGAGCGTTCCTGAATACACACCCCTGTCCTCCCAGATGGACAGTATCCTCTCCACTGATTTAATTACCTTAGGATCACCTTCAAAGCTGGAGAAAGGAGAGGCGGACGACAGAATAAGAACAAAGGGAGCCCAGAGATTTATGTTTTTTTTTTTTTGTTGTAATGACATTTGCTTATTTATGTGGGAGGAATTTCCTTTAATGAATAAAACACAGGCGAGGACGGAGGGAACACAAACGGCAGACGACGAAAGGATGAGGTTAAAAAGGACAAGAGGAAAGATAAACAACAAACATCAATACACTCTACATTATGCGATCGAATTAACTACTTACTTGACCAACAAGAAGGCCTCCCGAAGCACCTCAGCGAACGCCGTACGGTAAACGATGGCGTTTTTCTTTTTACAGTTCTGAATGACGTCGTTGGCCAGGTAAAGAAGGTTGAGCCTGTGAGCGGCGTCAGCTGTCAGAGGAAACACACACAGTAAGATCAGAGACATATTCTGAGAGGAGGAGATATTATTATACGGGGATCAGTGGTGCTGCAATGTGTGGATTATTTTTTATTAATGATTGGTTGTAAAATGTCAATCGCTTATTACCAGGACATAAAAACAGACGACTAATTAATCCGACCAACAGCCGAAACACAAACGCGTATTCATTCTGTAATTACGTTAAACGAGAAACACAAAGGAATGTTTTTATTTGAGCTGTGAATCTAAAAAGCTTTTGTTGGTTTTACTTAATAAATCCCAACAACGACTGATTAACCGCTCTGATCAATTTATATAAATATATGACGACCATTCATGAATTATTACAAGTTAATTTATTAGCAATCCAAACTGAGCAGAAGGCCGAGACAACAGACATAAACCTTTTTAATATTTCAGATCACGTCGCTCTTCCTATGGTGACGTATTATAAACAATGCACCTGAGCTGTGAGGACTTGAAGGGTGTTATTTTTGGATTGTGTTATCGTTTTGTTTCTGTTTACAGTTTGAAATAAAAGAAAACAGATCTTTAATAAAACTACTGATTATCTTGTTTAAAATGAGAAACATTTGTATCGGGTTTTGAAGTCTTTTAACTGGAACAAAGAGGTGAAAATAAACTGCTTTCAATAAATCAACAAACTCCAATTACATGTTAAATCCTCCAGCTGATAGAAAATAATTTAATTTAACTGCTAATTTCTTCTTAACGTCATTTATCGACTGTTTAACGACACAATGCCACATACAGTCCTATATATTGATCTTTATTTA